AATGCCAGCAACGTCTACTTCAAGGTCCTTAAATTCGCAGCGATCCTCACTCATGCTGTCACTTGGCCAGGGGACATCTTTCTGTTGAGATATGTCTTCCATGGGCAGCCTTTGGATATTTCCAATATACTTATTTCTTGTTTGGGGTGACCAATCAAACCACAAAACCGCTGGAACCTGTAAATATTTGCTGTGGTCTGCCAGGACGTACTCGTCGCTTACTCCAGCCACTGCGGACTGAAACTCTTCAACTTGATGATCGTGTATTGCTTCAAACACGTGTCGGATAAATTGTAGTTTAGTTAAATGAGTAGTACCTGTTTCCTTTGTAAAGATGTTCTTTGCTGCCTTCATAAGGTTGTTCATCGACTCCGAACAGTTGGTGTAACACCTTTGCGGTTTGCCGTTGTCCCTATCATCAGACCAGCCTTCCTCCTTACATCGTCTACCATATGTTTTCTGATCATCTTTCTATTGTCATTCAAGTAAGACCAATACTGGGAGGTGTACTGCTTGTTTTTACCAAGGGTCAGTCGTTCTTTTTCATCCACTTCATCCTGTGCGGATTTCAAACGTTTACGCAGGTCCTTGCCGTCTACTGCATCAATGTTACCCTTCCGCTTTCCCACGAACTCCAAACGTCTTCGCCAAAACGTAACTCGGATCCTTTTCACTTTTTATGCCTGAATCCCTTAATTTGTCCCGGCAATTGTTTTCGAAGTGTCTGAAGCGTCGCAGACTCTGCGAATGCTTCAACTGTTCTTGAAATGCACTTTGGAGGGCTGTTTCTCCATCGGTAATAAAGCCTTTGCATTAATTAAACCACTGCATTTTTGATGCACGTGGTGGCTAACATCTGATAGGTTGCCTCAGACTTACTTTGATGGCTCATTGTTGGACCTAGGAAGATCGGATTTCCTCCTGTTCGCTTAGAATCGAGGAGAAGGTGTTTGAAAACCACAGGAGTTACTTCAAACTTTCCCGGACTGAATGTTGGGTCGACACTAAAAGGGTGGCTCAAAATATGAGAACCTGTGAATCTGTCTAATTCAGAGCACTTGGAAGATCTGCCAAAAACCCACAGATCTTCAGGGTAATCTGAATGGTGTAGTGCGAGATCTTCCTTGTCGCCAGCATATTTTAAGAGATCATCAACATCATCATTACCTTGCTGACGAGCTTTCGACTTCGCATCGTAAACTTGATGTCTGCCGCGCGGTAAGTCGCATAGGGACACTGACCCACAAATTTCACCTGACTTTTGACGGAGGTCGTCATATACTCGTCTTGAAGGTTTGCTTGTAACGCCTTCTTGTAGTTGGCGTAATGAACTTTTTTCGTAGGATGAAAAGGCTTCGGGTTTGTTTTTCTACAGTTCCCATGTGTTTGGACATCAATCTTTACTTGCTCTTGGCCATAAGTAAGGTGATACTGCAAAAGACAAACATCGCCCACGATTCCACCCTCGTCATCTTTCAAAAGAAAAAGTGAGCGCACAAATGCTGGTTGGGCCTTATTTACCTTTGAGTTAATTACTAAATGAAACATTGTAGGCGAAGTCAAAGAAGTTTTCTTGCGCGAAACCACTGACCATAGGCCATCCTCAAGTTTCAAAGTCCAAATGCCACAGCGTAGGAATCTATTGTAGACTCCGTTCATGTCAGCCTTAATAAATTATCTTCCCATTCGCTGAACCACTTTAGATCTATGAGGAATGACACATTCTCTCGAACTTTTAGGGTTGCTTTTAGGGGCCTTGCTTTTAGGGGCCTTGCTTTTAGGGGCCTTGCTTCCTATTAATATTCTTGCCACATCAGAAACGGTGTACCTTGTGGCTCGACTCTTCTTGAACATAGGGATTCTATGATCATTGTTCCAACATTCAACCGCCTAAAAGGAAGGAATGAGGAAAAGGTTAATTTCATCAGTTGCTTGTTGGGCTACGTTACAGTAAAAAACCTCCAATGATGATGCTTGGGTAACTTTTAAATGGATATCCATAGTGGACGCAGAAGGTACTTGGCTGATCATCTGGACCACTTGATCAATATTTGGCCTATTTTCTGGACTAGACTCAATACAGTCCTTGTAAATTTGTTGTATGTTATACCAATCAGTGGCATGTTTGTGCTGGTACTTGAGGGGCTAGATAGGAAGCTTTTTGTCGGCCAAGATGGCCTCTAGAAGTTGAAGACACGTTTTGCCCTTAACCATGGCGCGCTCAATTTCCCTGTGATATGGGTACTTCACAGAATGATTCAGTAAAACAAATAGACTAATTTCCAGTACCCATACATCAGCCTTCTTCATATCTTCAATAGTGGCGACTGACAAACGTGTCTTGCCAACCAGAATCTCCGGGGTCTGATATACAGGGGTGGCACGATTTACGCGGAGAGTCTGAGAATTTAGAATTGACTTTGTCTGCATCTCATTCGACCGACTTTCACCGAAGTCTGCCAATTTACAAAACATGGGGCACTCGATCCACACTTTTCCGATTTCTTCCTTTGTCAGCTGGCAATAGTGTTGGTTGCTGACTAAAACATTTGCCGGCTTTAAATCCCGGTGTGCAACATTTCTGTGGTGAAGGTACTGCACACCATTCGCAATGTCTTTGCATGTACCGGAGAAAATACGTGGGTCGTCAAAGCCTGCACAATCATAGTCGTTGAGTGTGGCAAGAAAGCCGGATAGGGAGGTCACTCTTGAGTTCATTCCAAAGGGCATGAAGTAGAAGTAAGCATATTACAGAATTAGGGCTACTGGTGTGGTGCAGATTCCCTTAAACTTGACAATATTTGGATGCTGCAACTCTCGAAGAATCCTCGCTTCCTTAACAAAATTTTTCTTGTCTTCCAGGTCCTTACCAAGCGCCTTTTTAACGACAACTTTCTCCGGCGAATTTCCGCTGCCACGTGGGTAATAATCTGCTGTAAAAACAGCGCCATAACCGCCTTCCCCAATTTCCCCTTTGTTAAAAAACTTTTGAAAATCAAACAGCAGTAAGTCAGAGACATCGATAGCTTTTGGCTTTAGTAACGGTAACGCAAACGCCCGGCGGGTTCTCCCATATGAAACCGACGCGGATGCTCGTCGAAAATTTTAAATTTAATCCCTAAAGGAGACCATCTGGGCATGGCTTAAGCAAATTTTGACCCCTAAGAGATACCACTCATGTTCATGCATTGTCTCTTTGGCACTTCGTAAAAARAGAACACTAGTTAATGTTGAGGTAATACGATAAAAAAACAAAAAAACAAAACAAGTTAAAGAGAAAATTTTAATTTTGTTTCTCTTAGCGTAATTTTGTATTTCTTCGCGGAACCCTAAACGAGACCTTGGCGGCTTAAAATATTGGCGCTTTACCTGGAACACCCTAAGCGAGACCAAGATCCAAAATTTACACCCCTAAGCGAGACGACGAGCATCCCCGTCTGTTTCATGTGAGAGTCCCTCCCCCGGGCGCAAACGTCATAGTCTCCGAGCTGTATGCAGTCAACACATGGATCGAAGTCCGTAGACGTGACCCTTTAAAACCCACTGGAGTGATTGACGGGGACTATCGTCATATATATTTTTGGATTATAATTGTTAAGGAGAATTTTTATCAAACAGTTGCGACAGACAAATCGCTACCTCCTTGGTGTTGGGACAGAAACCTTTGTCCAATGATAAGATCTGATATGTCTTCTTTCTGAAAAGGCCCTGTTTATACTATGTAAATTCAATTCGTTGCTTTGTTTATTCAAACATTTACCAAAGGACAGGCATCCCAGAAAAAAAATGTAGGGTTTATCTTCAGGGGCCGTGTTGTTTTTTACACTCCTTTAGTATCTAGGAGTCGTTAAAAGCAGTTTCCAGCCGTTTCCGAGTGATTTTGAGGGGGATCTTCGTTTTCTACACACCGGGGGGATGTGTAGAAAACGAAGACCCTGGTCGAAATTCTTTAAAATTGAAAATCTGGAGTCGTGTTGTTTTTTACACTCCATTGTTGTCTAGGAGTCGTTAAAAGCAGTTTCCAGCTGTTTTCGAGTGATTTTGAGGGGGGTCTTCGTTTTCTACACACCGGGGGAGATGTGTAGAAAACGAACACCCTGGTCGAAATCCTTTATAATTGAAAATCTTCAGGAGCCGTGTTGTTTTTTACGCTCCTTTGATGGCTAGGAGTCTTTAAAAGCAGTTTCCAGCCGTTTCCGAGTGATTTTCAGGGGGGTCTTCGTTTTCTACACACGGGGGGAGGGGGGGGGGGGGGATGTGTAGAAAACGAAGACCCTGGTCGAAATTTTGTGTAATTGAAGATCTTATCTTCTTTACACATCTAAGGCCGAGATACCCGTCTCTAGATGTTTATGAGTGATCTTGAGAGGGGTCTTCGTTTTTGGGTCTCAGGTCTTCGTTTTGTACACACCGATCTATTTTCTAAATCACTGCCAGTCAGATTGGTACGAGTCACAGACGTTTGAACAAAAGCGACGCTCAAATGCGTCGTTTTCCTTGAAGGAGAGGGTCAGATGGACAACCGCAAAACATGGTGGTTGCTGGTTGAGTGCGAGCAGCAAAGAATGCCTAAGCCACGAGCCACGACATGGAAAAAAAATTGCCCTCGAATGTCTACCGTATCCTTAAGTAATCTGTCAAGGAAAGCTCGGAGGAGCTCATGAAGTCGCTAACCAACCGGTTAGGGGCTGCTCATCAATGTGAACTTTTCCGAGAAAAGGTTTGAGACGCCCACAACGCGCTGTAACGAGTCATTACCAAAGCTAGTTGCGGATTTTGAGGTTGGTTGTTAGGGACTAGTTTGCGGATGCACCGCCTGACGAGGAACTGCGCCTGCCTACGAGATTGCGGATGAAAGGTTTTAGGCCAGCTGAAAGATGTATGGTTGTCGCCTTGGACAGCCGACCTCTTAGTTTTGTGTTGGGGTTTTCTAAAATATTATTCGTGTGAAAAAGGCATAATTTTCAGAAACAAAAATAAACATCACATATACACAGCAATCAAGGAAAAGTAATCTTTGAATTTATTGGAAAAATTTCTTTCCCAAAAAGGAAAATAAACACATCATGAATATGCACCTCTGAACTTATGCACTGATTTCACACACACACGTTTTCCCTAAAAGTTGTGAAGCATTCCAAAAATGGTGTTTATTGTACAATCTTGATTTCCATAATCCTGACCACTTCTTTCCAAAATCATAATTAATTTCTCTGAGGCTGTGAAACAGGGTAACCTTGGGAGAATCCTAATCCAGGACCAGTACTGCCGGGACCAAGAAGAATCTTAATAGTAATAAGAAAATACGAGAAACACTTGGGTAAGTAAGCACATTAGAAATAGAACAATAAAGTAAATGTAACAAAAGATTTACTTTGCATTGATTACTATTTTGTTGATTCAATAGCACCTTCTGTCAAAACAGAAGTCCTTACAAAGTAGTAGTAGTTCTTTATTTAACGTGGCACCACACTTAGCTACAAGCTACTTTCCAGGAAGCCCACAACAAAATATTCAATAAAAAATTACAACCTACATCAAGAATTATGTACATTAAGTAAAATATTATTATAAAAAGGATATCGCAAATTTAAATATCTATTTGTATACATGTGTAGTAAAACAGAGATAAAAAAAACTAAAAAGGGTAGTCAACTAACTAATAAAAGCCTCTCTAAAAAGTAGTGTAGGAAGACTACAAAAACAGAACAGAGTTATATCCTGGTTGTATCAAATATCCATATCTATAACTTTTGAGATTGCAATCATAATCTTTCTTTGCTTGCACTAGTACAGTAGTCAAAGCTATTGAATTTCCCATACTTTAACTTAATTTTCTTGAACAAATGAACAACAATTTCTAAAATAAGTTTTGATAATCCTCTACCCTCTCGTTGCAGCAATCCTCTTCACCACTTAATGCTTTCAGCTAGTCACAAGCATTGTATACAGTTCACCACATAACAAGGACAAAGGATTGATGATTGCCTTTGCAACACAACATCCACTTGTCTTTCAAATTATTCATTGGATCATGTTCTACCAATCCAACATGTATTTAACCATTAAATATTCCAAGAATTTGAAGTATTAAACACCACCAATTTAACCCATGACATAAAAACCCTCTACTAGATTAAAACAAATTCTTTTTTTTTCTATTTCAAAATGAATGTAACAAGAAAACAACACACATCTATGCATGTAAACACTTGAACCTGAAATGGCCACCCAAGAAATAAAAACAAATCATCTTTACCACACACTTAAAATAACTGATAACAGAAAAACAAAGCTAACATTGTTTGCCTCCGCAAATTCCCCCTTGCCCATGGGGCAACTTGTAATAAACATACTGAGTAGCCTGATGGGAATTTTCATTAGCCTAGAACTATTGGACAGTGCTCTTGTTTCATCCTGTTGAGTCTTAAGTGTAACTTTATCCCTAACTTCTTTCAAAGATGCAAACTTTGACTGAACTCAAGTGAAAATCCTCAGCTTTTCCCTTATCTTACCCTGACCTTTTTCTGAGCTGTAGCAATTATGGCAGGCCATATTCTAGAATTTTCCATTTGTGTATCAATGCATCTTCTAGCTGTTTAAGGTTACTGGTACTGTCAACAACATCTGGTTAAAATTTGTAAATTTTTTTTTCATTCTTTAGTTAGAGGAATCCTATAAGTTTAATTTGCCAAAATAAAAATGTTAAAATCTTAAAAATTAAGTAAGATAAAGCCGAAATAGTGAGATGTGTCTCTAGCAGAGGGTCTCTAGCAGAGTGTTAACATTTTTTTGTGGGATTGCAGGTGGATTCTGCATAATTTGTTTACAACACCAAAAGAAGGGAATCTCTGTCAAATTTCCCAAAACATTGAGATATAATAGTCTTTATGAATGGCCAAAATCAGAAAAGTCCCCTTGAAGAAAATCTAAGAGGAAGCCCTGTCCAAAGAATTCAAAGGCAGAAGATTTTAACAAATTGTTAAATTCTGACATTGTTGTCTGCTTTTCCAGATAAAATTTTTTGGACTTTGATTATTCATTGTAAATTTGTTTTCCCTGCTGAGGTAGAGAAATAACCTTTCCAGAGAATTTCAATGGGCCTCTGTGTTACAAGACTAGCCAGGGAGTTAAATGCTGTGTTTCACTGGTCAGTGACATGGCAGCATTGTTACATGCTTTCCAAACTTTGTGCAAACTGTGAATTTATTTGAAGGCTTATAAACTCAAGATTTATTTTTACATGATTTACCTCTACTTAATTGAATTAATAGGGAATGTAGATTTGTCAGATGGTGATAATACTTGGTCAGGATATTTGTGTTTTTCTTCAGGAATGTAAGGAAAAGGATTTGATTGGCTATTACTGGCAAATGATCATGTCACCAAAACAACAAGATTTCATTGGTTAAAACTTTTGCAGGTTTGTAACCTTTTTTCACTGGCAATGCAAGGACAAGTACAGGTGCAGCCAAAAAGTTCTGATTTCACCATGATAGTAATCACAACAACTCTAAGGGTCTATACAGAGGACAAACCTGTTTGTTTTAGCTAAAAACTTCTGCCAAGACAAAACATTTTGACTTGAACAAACGTGATCATGACTTAAACACCACATGAGTACATACAGGTAACATACAAGTAACATACTGTATGGAACACATGGATACATATGAATACATACAAGTAAAAAAATACGAAAAAATTTGTCAAGTCAAAATTAATCATTTGATTTTTTCAGGGAAATTCTAGTTTTGTCCATATTAGCAATCCATCACAAAAACTCTTATATTTCACTGTGATAGCCATCTCCTACTTCCAATCACAACAAATCTTATTTCACTGTGATAGCAATCAACCCCACCTTTGATCACAATAACAAAAAGATAGTCGAGATTTCACTGTGTGTGTGTTCTTGGTGGCTTAAGAATCATAAAAAACATGGATAAAAATAATGATTAATGTGAGAGAGGAATTGCTCTTCTTGAAGTTTAGAGCGGACATTGATTCCAAATACATCAATCCATAGAAATTGTTTGTCCTCATTGAAGATATGGTGAAATTATGAAATGATCTTGCTACTACCACATGGATGGAGAGCAATAGTAGCCACAAAGAACATCAGACTTTTTGAACCCAGTGGAAGACTCACAGAGACATCCTTTCCTTGAAAAGGAGCCTCGTGGCATTGTTTTTGCTTGCCAGAAAGCAACAGTATTCAAAAAATGGCTTTTAACTTGGTGAGCATTCTTTCAGTGAGCCACCAAAGTTTTGGTCAGCGTTAATCACTTTTTATAATTTATGACTAATCATTCTGAAAGACAATTATTAACAGAAAACCACAGACACCCCTTCCTGCTTTTCTTTTGGAGGGCAGGGGGGCTGTACACTAGCTATATTTGGTTGACAGTAGCCTCAATGTTTTCATGACTGCGATGCTATGTCCTTTGTTTACAAGGTTTTCTCTTAGTCTAACCTCTCTGTCCTCTATCTACGTTTAAAAAGAACCACGAGATCATTCTCCTCCATAATGTACTAGGGTTTCATTTAATCTTTAATGACGATCCCACTGATTTTGTTTCCTTAAGATAATAAAACGAATCAATCACAATTTGAAAAGGTAAATCAATGGCACACTTTAAAAAGGCAAATCAATGGTACAATTTGAAAAGGCAAATCAATGGTACAATTTGAAAAGGCAAATCAATGGTACAATGACAATGGTATGATTGTCAACTAAACTAAACATCAGGCCTTGATCCTTGGTGATATGGAGCATACATTCTCTTTCCAATGAAAGAGTCAGTTGACATATTTGATATGAACATTGACAACAAACTACAGTTTGATAAACACATATCTTCAATATGCAAAAAGATCAATAATCAGTTAAATGTCATGATAAAATTTAGAAAACTGATCTCTAAAGCCACTTTGGTCAAATTGTATAAGGCCTTCATCTTACTGCACTTTCAGTATTGTTCATCGGTGTGGCATTTCTGTAGTGTACGAAACACTGAGAAACTAAATGAAGTCTTAGGTTCCTTCTAAATGAAGTTGAATCTATGTATAATACCTTATTGGACAAAGTCAACTGTGTTTCTTTATATAACAGACATATACACAATAAATTATGTTAATTTTACTTTAAAAAAGTTTATTTCTAACTAAGTATCCTATCTACATGAGGAATATGTTTACTCTTCGTAATACCGCTAATAATTTACATGGTAACTTCATTCTGAAACTCCCAGTTGCTAAGACTACTTCTTATGGCCTTCGCTCTTTTTCTTATCACGCCGTTAAACTAAGGAATTCACTACCAGACAATGTTTGAACCTTGAACCTTAATGACTTTAAAAAAGCATTAGCTAGCCTTACATTGATGTAATTTTAGAACGTATTGTAATTGAATTCATATTGTATTTTTCAATATTCAGTAAATCTATTTAATTCATTTTAGCCGTTAATTATAAATATTGCACAGGATTGTATTTTATAAAGTCATTGTATATCATGTCGATTTCTTTTGTTATTTGTTATTTTCTCTTGCAAAAATTAGTTTTTACAAGCTACTCTTAAATTTGAGAAAAAATAAAGTTTATGTATGTATGTACAGCTCACATTCCAAATGAGATTGCATACAAGTCTTTATAAAGATTCATAGTTCCAGACTTGTGTATCAACTCAAAATTTTGTTAGTGCAAGGGTGTTAAATGCGGGAAAAGAAAATCAGTCATTTTTAATCAAAATTGCACCTTTGAGACAAAATCAATGAAAGAACTTGAGTGGATCTCAAGTATTTGGTCTCACTTCATGAGACTACCGGAAAGCTACCAAAGTGTTAGACTAGTTACTTTCATACCCAATTGCATAATGGGTACTGGATTTTTAGAGCCAGTAACCACAAAAGCATTGTTAAACTCACTTGTCTCTGTTGTTGAAGTTGTGCTTCTTCTGTTTGGACTCTTTCAACTTCGAAAATAACTGGCAAGGCAAGTACAACAAATGATGTACTCATAATCCAGAGCGATTTCCCTGTGAAGTTGTAGAGCCAACTTGCACCACCAGTTAAACCTCTTGCTGCATTCCTAGAGCCTTTACGAACAGATTCTGGAAACATCTCTGTCAAGCCTACAAGTCTTTCTATCAGAGTTTCATCAACATCATTGAGATTCTGGAATTTAAGAAATGCACTTATGGCTTCAAGATGGATACTCTTTAGATTTACCTGTCTATTTGAGGTCCACATCATTCTTAGAGAAGCATTACCAAAAAGATACTTACATGTATGAAGATTTTCACAGGTATTTTCATATCATATCTCTTTGCTTTTTTAAATTTTAAGGGAGAAGTAGAGAGGAAAAAATTTATGCACTTTATGAATTGAGCTACTTTCTCATAGCTTGGCCCCAAAAGGAAAAATGATGCTCTCACTGGTGAGTGAGTGTTGGATGTGACATAGCACATAGACCTTTTTAGCTTCCTATGTTATAGATTGCCCACTTGGTCAGAAATGGGTAATCAACAGTTTTGGCTATATAAATTGGATATATCAACAAAGTTGAAGTGGTAAATTGGCCACCGTAACGATTACAAAAGCTGACGTTTCGAGCGTTAGCCCTTCGTCGGAGCAAATAGAGGAATTGTGGGTTGTGTGTGCTTTTAAAGGCAGAGAATGGAGCTACGTTATTGGTGGGAACATGGCAACGAGAAAAACAAGAATAAATTAGTGGAATGAAAAGCGTTCGTTGANAAATTAAAATGTCTAGCGACTGGTTTCGATGTGTCCTTGTCATTCTTTTCCACGTCTCGAAGGTGTTCTCGGAATCGGTCACCTAGTCTTCTGCCTGTTTCACTGATGTATATCTTTTTGCAATAAGTCCAATGTACAAGAAAAATAAGATGGGGTCTTAGTTTTCGCAATGAGTTTTGGTAATTATGAAAACTAAGACCCACCGGAAGTACATCGGCGGAGGTGCACATGAAGTGATCGGTGATCTTAATGGATTGTTTAGGTCCCGATATTTTATCAGTGTCGTGAATGAAAGGACACGTTTTGCATCGTACACGAGTGCATTTAAAAGTGCCTGGTTGGTCATTAGTCTGAAAAGAACTTCTGACAAAAAAATTGCCTAGTTTTGGCTATAGCTGCAGCCCCAATATTTCCAAAAATTCAGATTTGTCTTTTCATTAATATCATGTGGATTCTATGCTTTAGAAGTTAAGTATCCAAGTCACATGAGTTTGTGTTTTAATCTGCACGAGTAAATTGTCAGAAAACTGGAAAATATAACTTAAATTGTCTTATCTTGATTTCTAAATTTCATGGTTTTTTCAGTTTCTTTAAATCAAAATTAATATCGACTTTAAGAATAAAGCAAGATCAAAACAAAGACTTTATAGTCATCATCTGGTATTAAAGTGTGCACTGAAGAAGATTGCAGACAGCTGAACTGGGAGACCTTACTCATAACAGTTAACAGATTCCTGACAAGCATAATTATCCTTCCCTAAAGTTGAAGTTGGAATGAACTCATGTAGATGTTGACACCTAGTCCAGATTAAACTGAATGTTGATATATATTAGTTTGGGTTGTATTGGTTGTCTTCGTTTCATGAATCTTTTAAAAAACTATGCGACTGCTGGTTGTTTAGTTATTTACGATAGCAGATTTGGATCCCCTTTGGATTTAGACTTGGGGGAAATAAAAGTATTCTGAGCCAGGGTAAACCATTGCTAGATATGAGATTTGTACACCTGCTCAAGACTGCTTAGCAGTTCCTTATCCACATAATTATAATACTTTGAATTGTATAGGTTGTCTCAATTTCTTAAGTTTTTTAAATATTTCTGATCACTAGTCAGATAGTTGTTTGAGAACTATGACTGGTAGCTAGTCTAACATCAGACAAGCTGGAGCATTAGAAATGAGATTTATAAATCCCTTCAGAGTTGCTTAGTAGTTCCTCTTCAACATATAATAGTTTAGACTGTGTAGGTTTTCTAATTTTGTTATGTTTTCAGAAAAATATCTGACTGCTGGTCACTTCACTCGTTTGAGAACCTTGACGGACTGCCAAACTTAATTAGAGCGTTCCAATTATCGCGGACCAAAAAACTAAAGTTTTCAACAATATATAGCTTCACTCTTACCTCAAATCCAATCATTGCCCAAAATTTTCTTCTTTTACTCTGTGTTCCTTTAAGTAAGTAATTTTATTTAACCACATATATGACATGTGGTTAAATAAAATTACTTACTTACTTACATCTATTGTCAACGATTATTGTCGTCATTGACTAAAAACATGGATACCAGAAACTTGCCGTGAAATTTGCTTTTTGATCGGAATATACCGTGAGTTAACCGTCAATTTGAAGGTTCATCGAAGAGGAAATATGCTTGCGTGTGAAGAGTAACAAGTTTTAGCACATTTAAGAGTTTAGAAGCTAAAACTTGGGCCCAAATCGTATTTGGAAAGGGGATAAGCTTTTCCAATTTGGCAGGGCGAATCTGCAACGCGGCGAAGCCCAAATTGAACAAAACTTTTACCTCATCGTCCAAGCTAACAACCTCGGGCATCTTCAATCTCCATAAAACCTTTCGCCTGTGTCACGAAATTTCCACGAGGGATTTTCAATGGCAGCCTGGCCTCATTGAAGTTCTGAGTGAAATCTGGGACTGGTGAAGAGAGGAGGGGAAACCTTAAAGATGGCGCGTAGGCGTTCGTCGAGGGTAAGAGGGTAGTTAGCTCTAGCTCTGCTAGTAAGTTTAAAAAAAAACTGAAAGAACACATTTTTAAATAATATCAAGAATATTGCACCAATATCCATTTATCAATTAACTTGTCTTTTCAATAATTTTTACCTTTACATTTTAGTTTTATTTTTATTGCATATTGCTTTTATTCTGGGGGGTGCCGTCAATGAGAATTTAGTTCCTCTCTGGCTTGACCCTTTTTGCCTTTTTGCATCTCGATGTTATTTCTATTGTTATCTGTCTGTATTATTATTATTATTATTATTATCTTATTATTTAGGCAAATGAAGTTACTATATAAATATATAAAAAAAAAAAAAAGAGTAAACAGTAATTTTGGTCAGCGGGCAAATTATGAAACCCGCGAGTACGAGTATTGCGAAATCCCGCGAAAGGATGCGTAGGTACTAAATGTTGGAATCACCTGAAACCACCTGAAACCATCTGAAACCATCTGAAACCACCGATGAAACCACCTGAAATTTACTTAGGCAGTGGAAGTTAAAGCCACCATTCATCAACTATATTCTGTCATTTGCAGTAGTACCTTGCGAAAAATCCACATATATTTCACTTTTGCAAAAACAAAGTCAGTAAAATTCTAGGTCACGCTATAAATTCGTCGCTGATTAAAAAGAAACACAATGTTCAAAATTTCCTTAGGAAGTTTGAAAATCTT